TCTGTTCTGATCAGCATTGGCATGGACCCCATAGACACTATAACCACGTCCATTCCATTCTGTCAGTATTGGCACGGACCCCATAGACACTAAAATCACTCTTTGTCCAAAGAGAGTCCATAGAGTGAGGACCTGGGCAGCAGTATCAGAAGAGAGTTTTGTGTGGCAAGGACCACATGTAACTCTGTAACAATATGATGCACACTCATATGTACAATATCCTTTGCTTAGGACGTCAGAGCGCAGGCCACCATACCACTCCTGGGCTACATTGTGGACGACATGCCAAAGAGTGCAGATCTGCCACACAGTTTCAAACTGACCCAGTCCAAGTCTGTGCACAGCTTTGCTGCGGACAATGAGGAACTGAAGCAGAAATGGCTGAAAGTCATCCTTCTAGCTGTCACAGGGGAGACACCAGACGGCCCAAGTGAGCATCTAGACACCTTGAACAACCTCCCAGGACCCAAGAAAAAGTCAGAATGCTAAACTCCAGCAGCTGCCAGTGTGGAGTCTCAAGTAAGACAGATAGCTCGAGACGCCCCAACTCTCCGTCCTTGTCTCTTAGCACTTTACATTGAAAACTCTGGTTTCATAAAGACATCTTTTGGGGACTTTTTAAATGTGTTTGTATACTCTTAATAAAATCAATGTGCAGGGCCATTCTTCTGTTGAAGTTCTGAAATAATGTGTAAAGTGGAACATATTTGATAAGCTATTCCTTAACTATGTACGTTGGCCTTGAGGGGGTGGGGAACCGATGTCAACTGATTGTGTCACTACCTGGTGATAAATGGGCCTTTCGTTAAGAAACCCTTCAATGTCTTGTTCACATGTAGGACTCGTAACAGTGGAAAGGATATACCTCCGTGTAACCAAAATAGTCTATGATAAAAAGTACAGGGACAGTGTAGAGTATCGTGTGAACTTGTCTGGTTTGTAAGTCTCATGCTACAGAAATCGTTTCTGTTCTTATACAACACAAAAAAATATAGGTTGCTAATGTTCCCGCTTTTTGACTTAAGATAATACTTGTTTTGTAGAATTACTCCTAATAATAAAATATCTAAAATAGAAATCAATTTACTTGTATAGCGTATTGAAAATAAGTATGAACATGTGAGCTTTTCTCTTCAGCTTTAGTTCTGTTTTCGCTCTGGCTCAGTTTTTAAGTGTAAAACCTATATTATCTCTGAACTCAGCGCTGTTCTAAACTTAAGAAGAAAATTTTGGTGATTTATGCTGAACTGATTGGAATCCAAATGTACTGATATTTTTATAGTAAAGTAGCAGTAATTTATGTGGTGTAGGATAGAGTCTGAATTCCAACAGTATTTTTAGAGTACTATTTTTTTTTGTTCTGTACCTCTTTAAAACAGTGCCTCTCTTAGAAGGTGCTATTAATACTTATTTAAATAAAAGATGGGGGTTTAGTTAATGTTAACTAAACATTATTATCTTATCTACTCCGACTATTCTCAACTTAAGTGCACTTTGGTCACTGAGATAAAAAAAAAATGTATGGATTATTTTACTTTTTACAATAACATAATCGTCTTAGTAATTTAATGTCATCATGTACAAAACCTTTTACTAAAACTTGAACTATATAAGACATGTAACCATATACAGACCTGGGATATGTGGAAAACATTAGTGTTTTCCTGTCTATAAGAATATCGTGAGTGGAAATGGGGACTACATAGGATGAACACGTAAGACTGTTGTGGGAGCCTTCCTTTTGTCAGTTACAGAGCACAGCTCATACGTGTGCCGGCTCACTTGGGAGAAGACATAGACAGCTAGGAGAGAAAACTCCTGCTGACTCATGCGCTAGAAAAAAGAGCGAAAATCAGTGTTGCAGAGTCAACAGTGCAGGTTTCCAGGAGGTGCGAAGCATTGGAGAAAGTAGGGTTTTTCTCTCTTTTTATCCCACGTGGACTCTCAGATGAACTCTGGCTGTCTGTTACAGTCTGCTTTCCATTAGTCTGTGACTGAAATCGCACACTGAATTGCCTATTTAACTTTTAATAGTTTTCTCGTAATAGAGGTTTTCCCTCAGTTTTTCATACTCTAAACATTAACTCTTTTACTGTACAGATTCCTTGGAATCCACAAGAATGTCTCCACCACACACAGTCTTTTTAAGGGCTACACTTGAGACCACCACACATTTAAACAGCCCAGGCTGCATAAGAAATGTCTCTTGTTTTTTCCTACTCCAAAGGAGCAAGGGAACCAGTTAGGGTCCCTTCATCCATGAAATACCATACCTGATTATTAACATCAAATCATCTACTCAGAGCCACCAATAGGAGAAACAAAAAGCCAGCTTCTTATTCGCTACTAAATGAGGGCCAAATAAAAAGAAATTGTACATTGTTTCTCTTTTCTGGTTGTCAACATTGGTGCTGCATTTGGATGGGAGAAAAAGAGGCAGGTGTGCAGGGTACCTGTTGGCAAAATGAAACAATAACTAGACCTGTGATTTTACTTTTCATATCTCAAGAAAAGAGAAGCAGTGAAATTGTAGAATGACTATCAAAATAAAGATTACTTTTGTAAATATGAATAGAATAATGAATGGGATATCCCACTTAGAAGATTTATGTCAGATTACTTAAAAAATATATTTGATCGGCAAGAAGACAGTTTGTTTGCCTACTAGAAAATTCTTGTATAGAAGTAATGTGGAGCCTTTTCGTCAAGATGGCGCCTAAAGCGAAGAAGGAAGCTCCTGCCCCTCCCAAAGCCGAAGCTAAAGCGAAGGCCTTGAAAGCCAAGAAGGCAGTGCTGAAAGGCGTCCACAGCCACAAAAAGAAGATCCGCACATCGCCCACTTTTCGACGGCCCAAGACTCTGCGGCTACGAAGGCAGCCTAAATACCCCCGGAAGAGCGCACCCAGGAGGAACAAGCTTGACCACTATGCCATCATCAAATTCCCCCTGACCACCGAGTCAGCCATGAAGAAGATAGAAGACAACAACACACTGGTGTTCATTGTGGATGTCAAGGCCAACAAGCACCAGATCAAACAGGCAGTGAAGAAACTCTACGACATTGATGTGGCCAAAGTCAACACCCTCATAAGGCCCGATGGAGAGAAGAAGGCATATGTTCGGTTGGCTCCTGATTATGATGCTCTGGATGTTGCCAACAAAATTGGAATCATCTAAACTGAGCCCAGCTGGCTAATTCTAAATATACACTTTTTCACCATAAAAAAAAAAAAAAAGAAGTAATGTGGATAGATACTCAGTGTTGCTTAACTTAGATTATTGATACTCATAAAGAAGACGTTAGCATGCTCTTATTGTTCATTAAATAAGGAATGTTAGTTCCAGAAGAGGGGCTGTGGCCATTTCAGTCGCCTCCTTTACTGATCTGCCCGTACGTACTCTTAGCCAAGCACAGTGAGCAGCTGCTCCATCTCGCTCTCAAGAGAATCGCTAATAATTTCAATAGGAGAAGAAAAGTGATATATTAGTTACGTCTTAAAACCGCAACTCTGGGCCTAAGGAGGCTTCTATGCAAAGATGAGAAACAGAATTCAGTCAGCTCTCCAGAACCCACACGAAGGCCCGGTGAGCATGGCCCAGCGCAGCAAGGGCAGCAGGAAACCCTGGTGCAGGGTCAGGCCAGGCAAGCATGGCCCAGCA